AAAAAAAAAAAAAAAAAAAAAAAAAAAACGAAACCCAGGCTGTTAGTACAAACTCAAGCAGCCAGTGTCAGCTGAATGAGATGCCCCACCTCACTGCTGGTCCTGGGACCCAGACCCACCTATCTCACCCAAAGCCCACCCAGGGGATGGGATGGGCTTGGCCTGTGCCCATCCTCTAGAATTGCCCCCAAAGCCACCCTGTTGTGACAGGCTCAGACTCCATTGGGTTCCTCCACAGTGGAGCCTGCAGAGCCAGGCCAGGCATGGGGCCGCCAGTCCCCTCGACATCTGGAGGACTCAAGTAATGGAGAACGTCGAGCATGCTGGGCCTGGGGTCCCAGTTCTCCCAAGCCTGGGGAGGCCCAGAATGGGAGGTGAGTCACCGAGTACCCTCCACCCCAGTATCATCTGCCGCCCTCCCTCCAGTCCTGAGACACAAAGCACTCCTCCCCTTCCCTTCCCTCACCAGGAGAAGGTCCCGCATGGATGAAGCCACCTGGTACCTGGACTCAAATGACTCATCCCCTGTAGGCTCTCCTTCCACACCCCCAACACTCAATGGTGAGTAGTCTTCTTTCCCCAGCAGGACTTTGCTAAGCTCTTGTCCTACTGAGCTCCCCATGAGCAGGCTACGAGAAGCCAGTAGGCAGAGCAGCAATTCTGCCCCGATAGCCTTTCTCATTACAGAGAATAGGAAACTGAGGCTGAGACAGGACAGGCCCAGTGCCAGAACCAGATCTCACCCACAGGCCCACTACTAAGCCCAGGTCTTGGGAGTGCCGGAGACCAGTCCTCCTGTTCAGGCTTGGCCTGCGAGGGGGCTCTTTCCTGGCCCTGTGGCAGCTCTTTGTCCTCAGTAGTTAGAGGAAGGAAAGAAGCAAGGAATGGTACCGCTTCATCTGGTCCCCCGGGGGAGCAGCATCCAGAGAGGAGAAGGAAACTGACAAGTGGCCACCACACTGTGTTTCTAAGTCCCCACTGGGGAACCCATAAGTGGAGAAGAAAATAAGAAGTGCTGGGCATGGTAGTGCACGCCTGTAATCCCAGCACTTGGGAGGCTGAGGCAGGAGGATCACTGTGAGTTCGAGACCAGCCTGGGCTGCAAAGTGAGCTCAAGGCCAACCTGAACTGCACAGAGAGACCCTGTCTCAAAAAGACAAAAAAAAAAAAAAAAAAGAAAAGAAGGCCAAGCAGGGAGGGATGTAGGAGCCATTTTCATTACATCTGGGGAAGTTTGAGGCTTTTCTGTTCTTCATGATGGTCATAGGCCCTGCTGTGTGCCAGACATTCTGCCCAGCCCTGCAAGAGAGGTGCCGTTGTTAGCCCCATTTCAGGCAAAGAAACTGAGACTCTTAAGAGGGAAAATAAGCTACGAAAATCCCCCAGCTGAGGCTCTGGTGGAGTCTTTGACGTCCATACTCTGAGCCAGCTTCCTCGGGAGCTTGAAGAAAGGGTTTCTCACCTACGCACCATGGAGGGACTGAGAGGGTCCTCACAGAGCAGGGCTGATGAGGGCTCCGCTCAGCACTGCCTGGTCTTGGCAGGGGCTAGAGAGTTGTGGCCTCCCGTGCCTGTGGGTCCTTGTGCCAGCACAGGGACCTTCTTCAGAACCCCCAGCCCTACCTGCAGCTCACAGCCAGAATGCTGGTTTGGTGGTTCTGAGACCAGAACAGTGTTCAGCAAGAATTTAGCTTCACCCCTGCTATGCACTCTTCCCAGTCCATCACCTCTACCATTACTTGATTTGATAGTAATAACAGCTATTATTGATCAGCTCTCCCCAGTGTGCTGGGCAATCCTGTGAAGTGAGTTGTTTTTAGCTCCACTTAACAGAGAAGGAAAACGGGCATAGAAATGTTACGTGGCTGGTGCAGGGGACCCAGCAGAGCAGGGATTTGAACCCAGGTCAGTCTGACTCCAGAGGCAGGGCCTTGGATCCCCGTTTTTTGCTCTAGCTATTGCACTGCCCCAACCCGGCTGTGCTGCTAGGGCTGAACTGAAAACTAGAAGGCCAAAAGGGTTGGATTCACCTGTTCTAAAATGTGGCGCCAGTGAAGAGCTTGGAGTCTTGTCAACCCAGTTATGAAGGTCTAAGCAGTGCCTGGCCATGTTCTGCAGAGCCATCTGGGCTTGCTTGCTCTCCCTGAGCTCCCAGGGGCCAGGACACAGGGGCCGGACCCCACTGTCCTCAGGCCTGTCATTGTACGCAAGGGTACCATCACCTACCCTGGAGTAGTCACTGCTGAGCTTTCCCCAGCCCAAGCCTACACTACAGCCGCCATCTGGACCCACAAGAGCACACGACCTTGACCTCCAGCCACCCCCAGAGTCTGCAGCCTGGCTGAGAATCAAAAGAATGGGGCCTCACAGAGGTTCCAGACTCAGAATGTCCCAGGCGTAAGCCACCAACAAGGATCCGCATCCCCACACCACCCTGTCCCCAGCTGGATGTCCTGGCCCCTGGAGACCTGCTTGCACTGTGGCGCACCCTGGCTGGCTGCATTCAGTCCACTCTTGAGTGCAGGGGTTACAGACAAGTGCCCCCAGACCTCTTGGCCACGTGTGGTGGTGCATGTCTGTAATCCCAGCTACTCAGGCAGGCGCTATTTTTTTTGTGTGCTGGGAACTGAACTCAGGACCTCATGCTTGCAAGGCAAATGCGCTGCTGACCTATATCCACAGCCCATCCCAGCTACTCAGGAGACTTGGGCAAGAAGATTGCAAGTTTGAACCCAGCTTGAGCAACTTAGCAACTTTACAGAGACCCTTCTCAAAACAAAAGATGAAAAAAGGGCTGGGGATGTAGCTCAGTGCAAGGCCCAAGCCCCAATACCTCAAAAAGGCAGGAGGGCTGACAGTATAGCTTTGTAGTTGAGCACAACTGGGTTTAATTCCCAGTACAGCAAAAACTATGCCTGCCTTCTTTTTTTTGAGACAAGGTGTCACTATATAGTTCAGATTGGCCTTGAACTCACTATGTATCAAAAAAAAAAAAAACAACTCACTATGTATCCTAGTCTGGCCTCAAACTCATGGCAGTCCTCCTGCCTCATCCTCCCGAGCACTAGGATTACAGTTGTGTGCCACCATACCTGGAACCCCCCCCTTCTTCTTTTTAAACTCATTCTAAATTATCAGTTTCTTCTTTTTTTTTTTTTGGTTTTGTTTTTCTTCTGGTACCAGGAATTGAACTCTTGACCTTGTGCTTGCCAGGCAGGCGCTTTGCTGCTGAGCTAGATCCCCAGCCCCTAAATTATCAGTTTCTTTACCTGTGAAGTAGATATTATAATAATGACCTCACATTGTTGGTACAAGGATTATAAGAACAGATTTTTCCCTAAAATATGCATTGATGCAGTATGAGTCAGTCAGTTATCAATATGTTAGAGAACAACACTGCCGAGAGTGCAGGGACATTCTAGTCTGGTGGAGGAGACAAACTCTTCATAAGTAAGTGCTGCAGAGATTAGTTAGGACCAAGGAAAAGAGGGATAAAAAGCATAACATGAGCAAGAACTGCATAGGCTTGGGTGATGCTGAGAAGGCTTCACAGAGGAAGTGACATCTCAGCTTCAACTTGCTTGGTAAGAGGTCAGTGAAAGTAGTGGTAGAAAACTGTACCCGTCAGAAGGAACAAGCAGGGAGCTCCCCATCCCTGTGGAGAGGAAACCTGGCTACAGAGCCAGGCAGCCAGGCTTGAGGCAGCGGGTGAAGGCGTGAGGGCTGGTGGATGTGTAAGTGAATGCATGGAAAAATAGGCAGTAGCAAGTTCAGGAAGGGCCTGGAGATGATGGGGAGTTTGAGAAGGACACCTGGTCAGCAGATTTGCATCTCAGAGGGACTCCTAGGGCCCTTGAGTGGCCTTGGCTAAGGGTGGCAGGAGGGAAAAAAGAGGCAGAGAGATTGGGTGAGGGTTGTGTCGAAGGAGTCCTGTTTGCAGCAGAGGCTCGCATTTTTTCCTCCAGACCCCAGCCCAGGGCTCCACTCCAGGGAAGCTTGGTGCCTGGTCCAAGGAAGAGGGAAAGGGCAGAAGGGACAAGGCTGGAGAGAACCTCGGCAGCCCAGCTGAGGAGGCTGGATTTTCTCCTGGTGGCAGTGCAGAGCTAAGGAGCAGTCTGGCAAAATCAGGGCTTGTGGAGACATCCACCCTAGGTGCCCCGTACCCCCACTTAACGGCAGATTTCCCAACCCCACTCTGGGTGGCTGTAGCAGTCAGGCCAGCCCTAAGCCTGGTGCCTCGGAATCAGGATTGAATCTGCTATGGCAGCGGTAGAAGGCAGAGACCCCGCTCCACCCCTTGCTGGCTGTGACACCTTGTGCAAACGTTTAGCCCCTCTGGGGCATGAAGGTCATTAATCAATGCCTCTAAATCATCCAGCTCAGGCCTGGCAGAAACACAGACACTATAAACTGCCTGCAACCTCAGGCAAGGCACTAGTCACTCAGTCTGTCCTGGAATGTGTGCCCCTCGGGACTGAGTTGACCTGTGTGCTACTGCTAGAGTTGTAGCTGCGGGGCAGAAGGGCTTGGGTTGCACAGCCAGGAAGGGCTGGTCCCAGTTGGTGGGGCAGCCCTGCCCTGGGCCTAGAGCCTGCCCCTAACTGGCCATGGAGGAGGCCTCCGGCTTCCACCTGCCACTTAGACTCCTGTCATGCCACCTCTGAGGCTTTGCTCTTGCTGGTTTCTCTGCCTGTGCTGCCCTGTCCTAACCCCCGTGCCGGGTGAGAGGCAGGGATGCTAGAGGCAGGTGCCGCTGGACAGGGAAGAGCTGGGCTGGGGGTGGGCAGTGGAGCCGGGGAAGATACTGGTGGGACACAGAGCTCAGGCCTTGGTCCAAGGCCACAATGTGGCAGCTACAATCTAATCTGTGTGACCCCTGCCCTCAGGTAACCCCCCTCGGCCTACCCCAGATCCTGAGGAGTCACGGAAGCCCGGACCCACAGAGCGGGGCAGCAGCTCTGGGACCCCCAAGCTGATCCAGCGGGCGCTGCTGCGCGGCACTGCCCTGCTCGCCTCACTGGGCCTCGGCCGTGATCTGCAGCCCCCGGGGGGTCTGGGCCGTGAACGTGGAGAGCCCCCACTAGCGCCCCCCACACCAGCACCAGCAATGTGCCCTGCCACCACCGAGCCACCCCCCACCCCCCTCATCCACCTCTCCCCCAAGATGCCCAATGCCCGTGACCCGCTCACGCCTGTGCCGCTGCTGCTGGACCTGGGCATCCCTGCTGGCCAGCCGTCTGCCAAGAGCCCCCGGCGGGAGGAGACGCGCGGTGAGTAGCCCTGAGGTGGATGAGATGACCACCAGGGAGGGAGGTGCTGCAGAGGACTTGGAGGGAGGCCAGGACCACGGATGTCCACTGGCTCCCAAACTGGGCTCTGGGGGTGCTAGGGACTCAAAGAGTGAGCTCAGGCCAAGTTGAGCTGTGCGGTGGGCAGGAATAGGGTGGGCTGCCAAAGGCCTTCACACTGAGACCCATCCTTAGCTCTTTTGTATCTTTTATTTTAAGACAAGATCTTTCTGAGTTGCTAAATTGCCTAGGCTGGGCTTGAATTTGTGATCCTTCTGCCTCAGCCTCCTGAGTGGTGGGATTATAGGCATGCACTCCCACCCCCGAAGTCTTGGTTTTGGTTTTGGGAGACAGAGTTCCACTCTGTAATCTAGGCTGGCCTTGAACTCAGTGTGTAGCCCATGTAAGCCACAAATGGTTGGCAGTCCTCCTGCCTCAGCCTCCTGAGTTCTGGGATTATAGGTGTGTACCACTGTGCCCAGCTCTGATACCCATTTTTAGATCAAGAAGTTGAAGCACAGAGATTAAGGGGCCCTAGGTTTCCAACTTGTAAATGACAGGGTTCGAATCTGCTCCAGTCGCTGTGCCCTGAGCCACATGTAATAGACAGAGGCACCAAGGAGCATAAAGAGCTAAGGAAGTTATGAGTCAGGTAGTGTAGTTCACTGGGCAGATAGAAAAACTGAGGCCCAGCTAACCCTTGCCTTCCTGCACCCTCACAGGAGGCACCGTCTCACCCCCACCAGGAATATCACGCTCCGCTCCTGGCACCCCAGGCACCCCACGCTCACCACCTCTGGGCCTCATCAGCCGACCTCGGCCCTCTCCTCTCCGCAGCCGCATCGACCCCTGGAGCTTTGTGTCAGCTGGCCCACGGCCTTCACCTCTGCCCTCACCACAGCCTGCACCCAGACGGGCACCGTGGACCTTGTTCCCAGATTCAGATCCCTTCTGGGACTCCCCACCTCCCAACCCCTTCCAGGGAGGGCCCCAGGACTGCAGGGCGCAGACCAAAGACGTGGGTGCCCAGGCCCCGTGGGCACCAGAGGCCGGACCTTGAGTGGGCCAGGCCACTCCTCCATGCTCCAGCTGCCTTAGAGGAGCCACAGCATACACTGGAACAGGAGCCAGGCAGGCCTCTGTAGCTGCCTCTGTTTCCCCCAGGGACCCCCCGCCTCAGGGGGCGGTCAGGAACACTACACTGCACAGGAAGCCTTCACACTGGATGGGGGCCCATGCCCCTTACACACACCTGTGACCTGTAGGTCCCCTTGACTTACCTGCCCCGCTGGGGCCTGACACTGTACTCAGCTGGTTGAGAGGACCAGAGCCTGTCTCAGGGAATCGCCCCCAGGGGTGGTGCAGGGAGGAAGGGAGGTGCAGGGGAGAGGGGCCGGCCTCAGCTGTCACCAGCACTTTTGACCATGTCCTGCTACTGTGGCCCCTACCCCAGGGCTTAGTGCCTGGACCCCCCACCGCCCTTGGGGTCATGGGAGCCAGGGCTCTCTGGGTACCTTCCTGCTGTCCCAGCCAAGGTTGGGCCTTGGTGTTGGGATCCAATGAAGCCAAATAAACTTGTAAACTGTCTCCCCAAATGCAGCTGTCACCTTTCCTGGAAGAAACCAGGAGACCCAACCGGTCCTAAGACCCTGGTGTCCTCACTGCCCTAACACAACAGACAGACGCCCTGCACCGCCCCCCGCCAGGAACACACCAGCGTCCCGCTCAGTCATTCAAGACTTCCCTGTCTCCCAGCACCCTGCACACTCACCTCATCCACCTTCTCTCAGCCTCTCCGCGCTTGACCACACCACATCCTTCCACAAGCCATTGCCCCCACTCTGGCAACCATCCTTGTCCTGGTCCTGAGTGGGCCTGCCCATTCTTTGGGCCCAGCTGCCACATATCCTCCTTAGTACCTCTCCTGGCCACGCTGCCCCAACCCTAGGCAGATCACTGGACTCATAGCCTATGGCCCTCTGGGTTTGTTTTTTTTGTTTTTTTTTTTTTTATTTTTTCCGGTACTGGGAATCGAACTCACGACCTTGCGCTTGCCAGGCAGGCGCTTTGCCGCTGAGCTAAATCCCCAGCCCCCCCCCACCCCCGGGTTTGTTTTACCTCACTCTCCTCCCCTACCGGATCCACCTTGAACCCCACTGTCCCAGTCCCACCTCTGCCCATCCCACCCAGGACGCCTCCTTATCCAATCTCCCCATGGTCTCCCTGAGCCATACTTGTCCTCAAAGGCCTGTGTCCTCCCTACACCCCGGGCGCTTGCCCACGACTGGCTGCTGCTTGGGCTCCAGCTGGTAGCCCTCCCCCGTATGCTCCATTACCTGGGCGTTTCCTGCTCAGAACCTAATAACGAGGTGCAGAGCTGCATCTTCTTGCTCACGGCTTTCTTGGGTGTGCACCAGGAGGGAAGGGACCAGTGTCTGAGTGAAATCGGGTGTGTGCCGTGGACGGACCACGTCTGTGAAGAAGTGTGAGGCTTGCCCTGGGCTTCTCGCCCTGCCCTCAACCTCACCCCAGCTACTGTGAAATGGCTCACAAGGTCGTGCCCCGAGAAACTGGGAGGACAGCTTACCTCCCTGCCATTCTTGATCACCCCAGCCCTGTGGCAGCCACCCACACAGCACCTCCTCCTCCTTCCAGCCCCGCCCGGCAGGCTCCTCCCAAGGGCCAGTGGGGAAACAGGATCTCCCACAGCACCCCAAACTCAGCACTGCACTATGTGGGTTCTGAGGCCCTGGACCCGATTTGCGCTTTTGGTCATGGCCCACATGCTGGCCATGGGGCTAGGGGCTGTGGTGCTCCAGGCCCTGGAGGGTCCTCCTGCACTCCAGCTCCAGGCCAAGCTCCAGGCTGAGCTGGCTGCCTTCCAGGCAGAGTTTGGGGCCTGCTTGCCACATGGAGCCCTGGAAGAGCTGCTGGGCACAGCCCTGAGGGCACAGGCTCATGGAGTCTCCAGCCTGGGCAACAGCTCAGAGGCCAGCAACTGGGACCTATCCTCAGCCCTGCTTTTCACTGTCAGCATCCTCACTACCACGGGTAAGGCCACTAGGCAGCACGGGAGGAAGAGACTCTTGAGGCCATGGCTCCCTGAGGTAGGTCCCTGGGAGTCCAGTCCTGTCCCTGGCCCCAAAGCACCAGATGGAGCCCAGGCCCTATCAGGTCCAACATCAGGATTGGGGCTCCCCACGCCAATATACATCCCAACTGGTGTCTCCACTTCAGCTGCCAGGAGGGGCGTGGCCTTCCCAGCCCCACCCCTAGGCACCCTTTGAGACCCAGAAGAAGCACCCAGACCTTGCACAAGCCTGAGGCAAGGCAGGGACACAGTGGGATGGAAGGGCAGGGGAGGAGGCAGATCAGGAGCACCAGCTCTGGAGGGGCATAAGTAAGTCCTGATGAGTCGGTAGCCAAGGCAAATGGGCCCACAGCTAAGGGTTGAAGGATTTCCTGGTAGAGATCAATGCATGCCTAGGCCCCAAGAAAGAACAGGGACACAGTCCTGGATTTTGGGGGGGTTTTGTCTGTTCTACAAGGTATTTAGTTACTGGTGCTGGGGATCAAAGTCAAGGCCTTCCTCCTAACTTCTTTTGGAAATTCAAGAAACCATACAGAGCCTGAGTCCCCACAAGGCAACATACGGGCTGGAGCAGAACAGGGCCTGCCTCTAGGCAGAGCACAGCCTCCAGCCCCACCACTCCCTCTAATCTCTCATCAGGCTCCTCTGAGCACGGAGTCTGCAACCTCTGGACCAGCTGGTCCTGTTCTCTCACCATGCCCCACTCTCCCATCTTTCCTAACCTTGCCTGTGCTTCCCTATCCCCTAATGCCCTCTCTCCTGCCTGCTGCTTCTTTGCAGCCCTACTGGTCAACACCTACAGTTCTGCTCTTCCTGCTTGCTGTCCCCCCACCCACCAAAAATCCAGGCCCCACACCGGCTCAGATTCTGGCACCTAGGAAGATAGGATGTACCTTTGAGGAGTGAAAAGTGGGTGACACACCACCAGCTTGGATTATGAAATATTAGATAAAGGTGGAGCTGAAGAACCTCTCAGGCTGAGGATATAGCTCAGTGGTAAAGCACTTACCCATTGTGCCCATACTTGCCTATCACGCAAGAGGTCCTGGATGCGATTCCTACTACTGCGAAAAAGGAAACTTTGGGGTCAGTACCCCTGTGACTGCTGAGGACCAAGATGGCATTGTGAGCCAGGATGAGCTGGCTCTGGACAACTTGCCTCACAACCACTGCGAAAAAGGAAACAGCCAGGAGCGATCTAGGCACAGGACAGCAGTTCTCTGAACTATCTTAGCTACAAAGGTCCTGAGGGACTGTCTTAATTATTTCATTTTTCAGAAAAGAGTGTCAGAGAGGTAAAGTCTTGCCCCAGGATCCTCAGGGAAGGAGCTGAGCCTGCAGAGGTTATGCAATTCTGGCCACCAGAGGGCAGCCTTCCCTGAGTGGCCATGGAGAAAGTGGGGACACCTCCTGCCCCCGCAGCAGGTACCCCACTGAAGAGGTCACTGCCTGCTGCCCCTCTCTTCCCCAGGTTATGGCCACATGGCCCCACTCTCCGCAGGTGGAAAGGCCTTCTGTGTAGTCTATGCAGCTCTAGGGCTGCCAGCTTCCCTAGCACTTGTGGCTGCCCTGCGCCACTGCCTGCTGCCTGTGCTCAGCCGCCCAGGTGCCTGGGTAGCCAGTCGCTGGCAGTTGGCACCAGCCCAGGCTGCACTGTTGCAGGCAGCAGGGCTGGGCCTTCTGGTGGCTGGTATCTTCGTGCTGCTGCCAGCACTGGTGCTGTGGGGTCTACAGGATGACCGCAGCCTGCTGGAGGCCGTCTACTTCTGCTTCAGCTCACTCAGCACCATCGGCCTGGCAGACTTGCTGCCAGGCAGTGGCCAAGGCCTGCATCCGGTGATTTACCAGCTCGGCCACTTCGCACTTCTTGGTAAGTTGAGGGAGGTGTCTAGACTATGATTCCCATGAGCCCCTGGGGGCTGCACATCACAGAGGCGAGACCATCCCTCAGGCACTGTTTCGAAGTTGTAGTCTGAAGAACCCATGGCAGCAACAGTACGAGAAGTGTGCGTGGCACCTAGTGCCAGTGTGGTTCCATGCTGGGAGGTGGGTGGCAAACACCGTGGGTACCACAAGACCTGCCCTAGTGCTCTCCCTCCCCAGGTTACTTGCTCCTAGGGCTCCTGGCCATGCTGCTGGCAGTGGAGGCCTTCACAGAGCTGCCACAGGTCTGTGCCGTGGTGAAGTTCTTTGGGGTCAGTACCCCTGAAACTGCTGAGGACCAAGATGGCATTGTGAGCCAGGATGAGCTGGCTCTGAACAACTTGCCTCCTGCCACCCCTGCCTCCGAACAAGCCCCGGCTTGCGGACAGGTGTCAGGTGACTGCATGTAGCTCCTCTGAGGTGGCGGATCGTGAGGAGGAAGCAGTCATGAGTACTCGGGGAAGAATCGGCGATGGCAGGGTTGGGAGGGGGAGATTGTAGGGAATGGTGTGCTAATTTTTTAAAAAGGCAACAACTTGCTCAACTTTGTTTTTGGTGTCTTCTTTCATTTTTGTTTGTTTTCTCAGTACTGGGGACTGAGACCAGGTTTGGTTAGGCTGGGCTGGAACTTGGCGATCTTCCTGCCTTGGCCTCTCACAGTGCTGAGATTACAAGTGTCCGCCCAGCTATGTGGCTTCCTTCAAAACGAGACTCCCCTCAGCAATAATCCTTAGAAGGCCCGGGTCCATCCTCAGTAGGCATCTGGGGACCACCAGTCCCCCAAGGCTGCCCAGGTTTAGAGTAGCAGTGACCACGTTATCCATTATGGGCCTAAGCCCCACCCTCTTCCGCCTATTGAAGCCCAAGCCGTCCTGAGAATGGGCCAGTGCTGCTGTGTCCTTGTCCAACTTTATGGCTGGTGAGGAACAGGAAGGGGAGGGTACGGGCTGTTCCCCACACTGCCCACAGTCTCCCTCAGCCCGGGCAGCCAGCTGGGCCCAGCACTGGAGAAGGGTCCTGCCGAGCGCACGCGCACACACACACACACACACACACACACACACTCTCTCTCTCTCTCTCTCTCTCTCTCTCTCTCTCTCTCTCTCACTCACTCACTCATACAGACAAATAAATACAGGCAACCTAGTGAAGGCATCCCCAAGGCCAGGTCCTCTGCAGCGCAGGCCCCGGGGAAGCAAGTGGGCGCCAGAGACAGGCAATGCTGTGGGCTGGGCCAGAGGCAGGTGAGGCTGAGGCAGAGGCTGTGGCTGAGGCAGGCTCAGCTCAGCACGCAGCGTTCGCGCCGGCTCAGCTGCCGGCTCAGCTTACGGCGCCGCTGCTCCAGACCACGCGCCAGGCGCTCATCCTCCTCCAGGGCACTGCAGGGGTGCAGGGGAGCGCAAGTCAGCCCCACTGTTGTCCACCAAAGTTCCAGACCCAGCACTCCCAGCTCAGATGGGCCCCCACTTACATCCGCTCCTTTTTGTCCAGGTCTCGGACCAGCTCATCACGCTGGTTCACCAGTGACACCAGCTCCTCCAGCAGTAGCTGTTCTCGGTGCTGCTGTGTGGCCGTTTTCTGCCAGTCTGAGACCCAAGAGCCCAAGTCAGGTGGCGCCAGGCTGAGTCCAGTCCTACCTCTGGCCCCTCTGGCCCCGTTTCCCACCTTCAATGGCCAGCATGGCCCGCAGCTCCCGGCTCAGCAGCTCAAACCTGCGCTCCAAATCCTGCTCCTCTATGCTGGGAAGCAAGGGAACCAGGTCAGGGAGGGGAGCACAGGGCTCTGACCACTCCCGCCCCGGCCCACCTCCCTCTCCTTCCCACAGAGGGCTGGGCTGAGCTCAGGGCACTACCTGCTTTACCCTTCAGAATCCTCTTTGTCCCAACTGGCCTCTGATTACTAATGCTTGTGTTGCCTCCCCGCCCCCTCTTGTAAAATAAAAAACAAGCTATTTAAATGGAAGCAGTGGGCCACAGCAGTCCTGGAGCAATGCAAATGCAGACAGACAAAACTGTCTTCATCAAATGCCTGAGCTGAGCAGATCTCTAGGGCCTATATTCCTTGCTGTAGAGGCACAAGGTCAGACTGGAGGACTTAGCCCTGACCTGCCAAGGGCACGCTCTGCTCCTGGCTTCAGCTTTCTCATCAATAAAGATAATGCCCTTTTGTATGTGTGATATTGGGGACTGAACCCAAGGCCTTCACACTGCACTATATCCCAGCCATTTATTTATTTTGAGACAGGTGCTAAGTTGCTTGGACTGCCTCACACTTGCAATCTTCCTGCCTCAGCCTCCCAGAGGCCTGAGAGATTACAGGTGTGCAACCCCATGCCTGGCAAGACAGTACCAATATAGGAAGTATACAGGTTGCATACAAAATAGGCAGGAGAAAAGCTAGTAAGGTGGCTGAACAATAATTTTTAAAAAACCTTTATAGGAAAGCAGTGAATACAGCAGTTGTAGCCGAAGTACCGCACCTAACATTCCCGGTGCTCGACTGCCCACTGTCCACAGTGGCATAGTGGGAAGGGGAGGGGCCTGGTGGGCGGGGCAGGGCCCGGGCTGGTGGGAAAGTACTCACAGCAGCTGCAGTTGGTCCTGCCTCCGGATGAGAGCGTTCTTCTTGTTGACCAGTGTGAACCATTCCTGGATCAGAACCTCCTCCTGCAGCCGGTTGGCACCTGCCAAGCCACGATGGTTAGCAGGCCCACCCGCTGTCAGATCAGTGCAGGGCGGCCGGGGTCTAGGGGAGGGGGCTCGCTCGCTTGTCCCATCCCCGAGGCCTGTGCTGTGTCTCCAGGAGGCTGCTTCCCGGCCTGCTCGCCCCGGGCTCTGCATGCCCACTGTAAAATGCTTTCCTGTCCCTCCTCCCAGCTCCGCCTGCGGCCAGAAGGGCTGGGTGGATACGGTGGTCCGAGGGAAGGCCTGGGCCCAGGTGCCCGCCCACCTGACTCCATGAGGCTTCTCAGCTGTGTCTCCACCTCAGCCGCCCGGTCATCTATCTGCCTCTGCTCCTGTTCCAGGGCCTGCAGCTCTGCACACACGTACTGACTTGTGTCCTGGAACCGTTGCTGGGGAAGGAAAGGGGGAACAGGGGATAGATGGGTTCAGCAGGCCCTGTCTAGGAAGTGCCCATCCCTCAGGCGCCCCATTTCAGCCCTCCTTACCAATCCAGCCTCCTCCCCTGGACTTGGGGGTGGCTCTTCCAATGGGGAGCTCCCACCTGCAGACAAAGACCAAGCTAAGGCACCCCCAACATATGTGCCCCCAGAGGCCCCGGCCCAGGATTTCAGAGTGGCCTGAGCTAAGCCACGCCCCTGCCCACAGTACTCACCAGGAGGCTGCCCTGGGGCCTGAGCTGTGGGTGGGCCGGGGGCAGGGCTGGGCTCGGGGCTCAGGGCTTCCTATGGAAAAATGCGGCCAGTGAGGGCGGGGAGGGGCTCCCAATAGCCCAGCCGGAGCCTCTCACACGGGGGAGGCAAGCTCCTCAGTCCCAGACCCCCAGCCAGCCACTTCTCCATCCTGCAGGGGCTCCTCACACACACTTCAGGTGAAGGCCAGCCCTTCACTTCCCAGCCCATGGTCTCCCTCGGCACAGGGCCACCCTCTGAACCTCAGAATCCTCATTCCTCGGAGATTGGGAAGGGCCCAGCAGGGGTGCCCTTTGTTCCCCTCCCACCCCTCCTCTCCGCGGTCCCCTCAAGTCACCTTTGACCCCTGTCACTTCACATTAGCATCTCCATCGTGGCCCTCGGAGGTGACAATGAGCTGCCTGGATGCGGCCGCATTTCTGGACCTAGTCCATCCTAAACCAGCACTGCCATCTCCCAGCCAAAAGAGGGCGCCCTCCCACCACAATGGTTCCCAAACCCAGAAGCGGGTACAGTCTTCCGGAATTGCTCACAACCAGACAGGTCGGCTGGACCTTCAGTGTTACCCTCGTGTGCCCCTCTCCTGGTGACTCACTGGGATTGTCAGCGCTGCGGGCCTCCGGCTTTGGGCTTGGCTGACAGACTGGCTGCCTTGACAGGTGCTGCTCCAGCCATCCTGGGTCACAGGATGGAGAGAAGGGGCTGACAGCCCATGCCTGCCTCTACCCCAAACCCTCTGAGAGGCAGCCCAGAGCCCTACATGCCCTCCTTTCCAGCCTGGGTCACTGGTGGCCTCCTCACCGACTGCCACCATCCGCTGCCTGCAACTCTGCCCTCAAGCCACACCCGAGAGGCCTTGTGGAACTCTCACCAGCGGTGTAACTGTGCACGGTTCCTGGCTCCCAGCCAAGGCAAGGCCTTGGGGGGCTCTAGCCTCAACTCCCAAACCCCCACCTAGGTGCCCCACTCTGTCCATAGTGCGGGGCTTTCCTGTTCCCTAACTTCCTCAGCCCAGAACCAAGCTCCACCTCGAGCGGCCCTCGAACAGAGGTGCTCTCCCTGACTCAGTTCAGCTGGGCTCCCCCAGAGGCCCCCACACCTCTCAGCCTTTTTTTTGTTTTTTTTTTTGCGGTACCAGGAATTGAACTCATGACCTTGTGCTTGCCAGGCAGGTGCTGTGCTGCTGAGCTAAATCCCCAGCCCCTCCTCTCAGCCTCCTTGCTGACCTTCAAGTCTCCTGAAGTCTGAACTGGGCCCATGCTGCCCCCAGGGCCACCTCCAGGGCAGCTGGAGCCAGCCACCTCCCGGTGCCATAGATTGCACAGGCTTCCCTGACCAGAGGGAGCCCCTTCAGAGTTCCCCAGTACACTGATTAATAATAGCTAACGTCGGGCTGGGGATTTAGCTCAGCGGCAAAGCGCTTGCCTGGCAAGCCCAAGGTCGTGAGTTCGGTTCCTGGTACCGGAGAAAAACCAAAAAAATAAAAAAATAAAAAATAAAAAAAAAAAAGCTAACGTCACTTAAGCGTTTATGCAGCATGCACACATATTATTTCCATCCACTGTTTTCCCAACCACTCTGTTAGGCAGGACTATTCTCTCTCACTTTACAGATAAAAAACAGGGTCAGAGATGAAGCTCATACAGGGTATGGCTACACAGGTTTCTCTAACCCTCTAGGCCCCTAATTTTTATTTATTTATTTTGGCAGTACTGGAGATTTGAATCCTGGGCCTTTGAGACTGAGTTTCACTAACCCAAAATTTGTTCCCAAGCGTGAATACCCACTGGGCTTCTTTGTGTCCTGGGTGTGTGAAATAGGGCAAAATCTCAGTGCTGTGTTGACTGAGGAGGTGCAGGCCCCCATAAAGGCGTCTGGGGAAACATGTAGCTCTCCCCTTTTCTGACGGCACTCGCAGTGGTGCCCGCTTGGCACCTTGCAAAGGGGGCTGCTCCTCCTCCTCAGGAAAAGAGCTCACAAGTTGAAAGCCTCGCTCTGGGTCACACAGCAGGGCAACAGTGCTGGGCCCAGCAGAGGGTACTGTTTAAGAACCCAGGCTCTCCTGGGCCTGTAATACCAACACTCTGAGACTGCTGCAGGAGATTGGGAACTTCCACCCCAGCAAAGGCAACTTACGGATTTAGTAAGACCCACTCCCAAAATACAAAATAAAAAGGCAAGGTCTAGAGAAGTCAGACGTGGTGGGGCATGCCTATAATCCAGCACTTGAAAGGCTGAGGCAGGATCACAAATACAGGCCCATCCTGGGCAATTCAGCAAGACCCTGTCTCAAAAAAAGGGCTAGATCATCAGGTGTTGTGACCGACTCCTATAATCCTAACATTCAGGAGGCTGAGGCAGGAGGTTCACTGAAAGTTTGAGGCCAGCCTGGAGTACACAGTGAATTCAAGGCTAGCCTGAACTATATAGTGAGACCCTGTCTCAAAAAACTACAAAAAAGGTCAGGCATGGTGGTTCACAACTATAATCCCAGCACTTGGGAGGCTGAGGCAGGAAAGTCACCGAAAGTTCAAGGCCGACCTAGACTACATAGGGAGACCCTGTCTCAAACAAAACATACACCGCCACCACCCCTACAGAAGAAAGGAAAGAGGCTGAGGGTGTAGCTCTATATTAAGGGTTTAGGTTCAATCCCTACTCTATCTGTCTCTGTCACACACACAGAAAACAGACTTAAAAAACAACGGCTCTTCACTTGGGCCTACAGATAGATGCCTAATAGGTAACTAAAAGCAGAACAAAGCTTTACCTTGTTTGTTTTGTTTTGTTTTTTGTCTTTGAGACAGCATCTTGCTATGCAGTTCAGATTGGCCTTGAGCTCACTTTGTAGCCCAGGCTGGCCTGGAACACGTATCAATCTTCCTGTCTCAGCCTCCTGAGTGCTCGGATTACAGGCATGCACCAGCATGCCTGGCTGTTTTGTTTTTTGGAGACAGGGTCTCAATATGTAGTTCGGGCTGGCTTTGAACTTACAGCAACCCACCCGCCTCACCCTTCCGAGTGCTGGGATTACAGACATGTATCACCATGCCTGGCATCACCTTTATTTCTGTCTCCTTTATTACCTTAAAACTTTAGCTGGGGAAGGTGGTGCACGCTTGTAATCCCAGCACTCGGGAGGCTGAGGCAGGAGGATCGTTGCAAGTTCAAGGTCAGCCTAGGCTATAAAGTGAGCTCAAGGCCAGCCTGAACTGCACAGCGACACCCTGTCTCAAAAAGACCAAAAAACAAACAAACAAACAACTTTGGATTAGACCCTTGCTCAGTCTGGGTATAAACACATTAATCATCTCCTAAGTATCTGTCTGAAAGTTAGCAAAACAAAGTTGGCAGAACAAAGGTGACCATCTCTAAATGTATGTAATGTACCTACCTCATCCACCACCAAAACTGAAGACACCGACATAAGGGACTTACAGAGACATTCGCTGTGCCCGAAGCCTCCAGTTCTAACCTCTGGTTACTGGGATTCCAGCAGAGCCTCACAAGCCTTCAAGTGCCCCGTACAGAAACAGTCACCCCCTGGAGATGGGACTGCCCACTCAAGCAACAAGGATGTGCCCTGGAGCCATCACACGAAAGCAGAACTGAGAACAAGATCCCCACAACCCGGGGCCAGCTCCTCTCTTATGTGTGGCAGGATGGGCCAATCTCCACAACCAGGCCCAGCTCCTCTGCAAATGGCCCAGTCGGAGCCACCTCATCATTCCCGTGTCCCCTTTGGTTCCTTCTGGTCTTTTACTTTCCAAAGCGTTGGCTTGTGAGTTCATGCTGATTACCTCGGCTGTAATTTCCCGCATTACTGAAGGACCCACACTAGCTCATGACATCCCCACTATCAAATGGGCTCACGGCTCCTCCCCAGAAAAGGAACTGTGGGGCACTGAGCAGTCAAGGGGCAAAGTCAGCCATAACGAGGGCTCAGCACAGGGCCAGCAGAGGCAGGCAGTGGAGAAAGCCAACCTCAGCAGCAACTGAGCTTACTCACACCAGCCCTGATGGGAATTCTAATACTGCTTCCTCCTGTGTGACCCAAATTCCTCTTTCTGTACCCCCATGTTCAGCCCCTCCTTAGGGAGCCTTGTGGGCCACACCACAAACACCCTGATCTTCTCATGGAGCTGCTTCAGCCCCACCCCAGCTCCAAGGCTCCTGATCACATCCTATTCCAGGCCTTGGGAAGCTCAGAAGGGTGAGGCCTGGCAGAACCATCCTGCCACACATAAGAGGAATGGGGAGGAGACAGCCAATGAGGAGGAGTCTCCTCCAGCCTCATGCATCAAGTATCTCCTGTGGGGCAAGGCCTGGAGGAGGGCCAGGCTCAGAAAGACCAGATGCTGGGACTTGGGCCCAGGAGGGTGTAGGTTGGAGCCTCCCTTTTAAGATTTAAAGAGCCACTAACACAAGTCAACCAGTCAGGCTACAGGAAGCTGTGTCCAAGCACTGCTGCCTGCCACATCCGCGTTACGTGGCCCCAGTGTGCCCTATCCAGTGCTCATTCACAGGCTCAGCCCCGTGCCTCTGACATGACACTCAAGTCTCCAGCTCTCAGCCTGACCCCACACCATCTGGGCAACTTTCAGGAACCATCCGGCAGTTCCCTAAATGGGTCCTGAGCTTCCCTGAGGCCATATTTTGCTGGTGAGGGTCCCTCCACTTGAGAATCACCCTTACATTTTTCAACTGGGAAAATCCATCCCTTTTAAACTAGCCTGAAGGCCACTGTTCCCTCTAGAAAGCCTTCTCCAATTAATCCTTTCCCTTCCTCCAAATGCCATGCAGCAGCCTGACAAGAGCCACCCCCGCTGTCCTGGACCACAGCGGAAAGGCCCTGGCATTGAATTTTTTTGACACAGGGTCTCACTATGTAGCTCAGGCCAGCCTCAACCTCACCATGTGTATCCCCAGCTGCCCTGTAATGATCCTCTGCCTCAGTCCTGAGTGCTGAGATTACAGACATACACCGCCATGACTGGACCATCCGTCTGTGAGGCCTTAAGTGAGTCCCTGTTCTCTCCAGGGCCATCTCCTTTTCAGTACAGAGACAGAACACCCTGGAAGACAGACCTGAGACCTCAAATGAATGGCAGTGGGGACCCAGGCCTCAGCAGGGTCTCCCACCTGCAACCTCCATTATAGGAAAGGCAGAGGCTGGACATGGTGGCACATGCCTATAATCCCAGCACCCTGAGAGACTAAGGCAAGAGAAGCCAGCCTAGCCTGGGGCAGCTTAGAGACTAAGAGAAACCCTGTCTCAAAATAAAAAATTAGAAAGGGCTGGGGATACAGTTCAGTAAAAAGGCCCTGGACCCAATCCCCAGTACAAGGAAGGAAGGAAGGAAGGGAGGGAGGAAGGAAAGGAGGGAGGGAGGAAGGAGGGAGGGAAGGAAGAAGGAAGAAGGTAGGTAGGTAGGTGAGAAAGAGACAAGGGGAGGTCAGGCATGGTGGCCCACACATCTAATCCTAGTACTTAAGAGGCCGAGGCAGGAGGGTCACAGGAGGCAAATATCCCCTGCTGGCAGCAGAGGCTGGGCAGTCTCCGGACCTGGTAATTCTTGGCTAGAATACCTGCACCAGGGTTCGCTTACACAGTACTAGGTCCCTCTGAGAGGAAAGCACCTCCCTATACTGTTTTGTCCCTCTGCTCTTAAGCTGCCAGCTCTGTCCCTGGGGACACTCAGGACCCTTCTCTGCCTGGTTCCCACACTCAGCCCTGCAGCTGTAGAAAGCACTCACTGTGGCCGAGGCTCCCGCATCGGGTTCATCCACGGAGAAGGAGCTGCTGCTGCGCAGCCTGGAGCGCCTCTTCTTCAGCAGATCGGCGTCCCGCACATGGGAGAAGGAACCGTGCGCACGAGGTGGTGGCACCGGTCCAGCCTCGCCGTTGACTGATGGCCGTGGCAGTCTCACGCCGCCCCCGCCCCCGCCCGCAGTCGCCCCGGCCCCATTCACCAGCCCCTCCGCTGGGGGAACTGGGGCTACGGGTGCAGGGGCCACGGGGACATCAGCCGGGACCCCTGGGGGACTCGCTTCCCCGACAGCCTTGGCGGCGGCGTCCTTGGGGGCACAGCCTGCGGCCACGAACTCCACGATGGGGTCCGCACGGCTCACTGCCTCCTTGGGCACTTCGGCCCCATGCTCACGAAGCCGCTGGGCCAGGTCGCCGGCATCCAGCTCGTCGGGCAGGCTTGGTGTGGCGCTGCCCACACGGTACATGCCCCTGCCATCGCCGCCCTTCAGCTGCACAAGCTGCAGCTCCTGGCCGGTGCAGAAAGCGCGGATCTGGCATAGGTATGTCATGACGATGAGTTTGTCGGGAACCGCCAGCAGCACCATGTCCGCGGGCTCCAGCAGCCGCGACACGCCCAGGGCTGCGAAACCATCGAAGGCCTAGGAAGGGTGCGCATGGAGTCACTCAGAACGCTGGCGTCGCACAGCCTAGCACACCGGAGTTTGCCCAGCGATGCTTTCAGCCCCTTCCCCCCACCCCCACCCCCGCTCGGCCTCAGAGGTCC